TGGCAGCTGAAGGTTCTGTTTCGGCTGATCTGTGGCTCCACAGTCAGGTTGGAAACACAGTTACTCTGTTCTCCTGAACTGAACCAAGCATTTTCACGGAGCAGCTGAGCTCCCGTCTCGTCCGCCCAGCGGAGGCCGTCCACTGGACAGGGACCGGCTCCAGCGTGTCTCCTCAGAGAACACTGCAGTGAGACATTCCCACCAATATCTGATGAAGAAACTGAAGGAAGACAAAAGCAGAGCATGAGAGAGAAAGCTCGAGTCTGCTGCGACAAAGGGTCTTTGCATTAAAACTACTCACTGGTCAAAACACTCAGATACACAAAGTCCTGCTGGAAGTTTCCTTCCAGCCAGCAGATGTAGCGTCCAGCATCCTCAGCTCTGATGTTGGTGATGATCAGAGAGCAGAAGCGGCTCACGCTCAGCCTGCCAGCTCGACCTGAACCCTGAAGAACTTCTCCATTTTTAACCTCCACCTTAACCTCGGTTTCCAAACCTCTGTTGTAAAACCATCTGAGAGTGGAGCGGGAGCAGGAGGACGGAGGAACGCCACACGGCAGGACGGCTTCGTCTCCAGCTCTGTGGTACAGAAAGACGTTTGCTCCTCTGCCGGTGCCTGCAGCAGGAAGAGTCGCACACCAAAAACCGCTTGACAAACACACTTCTTTAGATTAATTATCACATTAAAGTTCTGACCCTAAGCAGACTGAAACCTAAGCAGCTGATTTTTGCTTCTTGTCAGGTCTGATTATTAAACCCATGGTACCTGCAGAGACAGGTGTGTAGTGAGCGTCTATCATGACGCTGTCTCCTTCAACAAAGCGACAGCTGAAAGCTCTGTTCCAGTCGCTCCAACGGGTCGTCGTAAGAACAGAAACACAGTTCGTTTTTCTTCTGACCTTGTAGTCATCAGCTCCATCAGTCAGCTCTGTTCCAGTCTCATCCAGCCAACGGAGGCTGTCCACTGGACACGAAGAGCTGAAGCTCCTCAGAGAACACCTGAGTGAGACCGCTCCAGCTGTTGTCTCTGATTCTGATGGAGAAACTGAAGGAAAACAACAAACAACTGTTGGTAAACAGATATCAATTTCAAGCATCACAGTTGAGGGTAGAAATACACCAAACTTCCCAGTACAGACCTGGTACTACCTTGGTATGTACTTGGTGTGTAGCAGGTACTTACCCATAATGTACTAAGAATGTACGGGCTTCATACCAAGTCTTCACTTAGTATTTACCAAGTTCATACTTTGTACCAACATATTATGTAAGCACAAAGTATGAACTTGGTACATACCTACCTTCCTGCATAACTACCTACATACCAGCCTGCATAACTACCTACAAACCTACATACTGTACCAACATGCATACATAACTACCTAAATACATACCTACCTACAAAACTACATACCAGCCTACCTACCTACCTACAAACCTACAAACATACTAAACTACCTACCTATCTACATATCTATCAACCTACCTACCTACATATCTACAACCTACCTACCTACCTACCTACCTATCTACATATCTACCAACCTACCTACCTACATATCTAAATATCTACCTACCTACCTATGTACCTACATATCTACCTACCTACCTACATATCTACCTACCTACCTACCTACATACAGTGGGGAAAATAAGTATTTAGTCAGTCACCAATTGTGCAAGTTCTCCCACTTAAAAAGATGAGAGAGGCCTGTAATTGACATCATAGGTAGACCTCAACTATGAGAGACAAAATGTGAAAAAAAATTTGAGAAAATCTTTTTGTCTGACTTTTAAAGAATATTTTTGCAAATAATGGTGGAAAATAAGTATTTGGTCACCTACAAACAAGCAAGATTTCTGGCTGTCACAGACCTGTAACTTCTTTTTTAAGAGGCTCCTCTTTCCCCCCACTCATTACCTGTATTAATG